AGGGGACTGGAGCACCTCTGCTGTGATGAAAGGCTGAGAGAGTTCGGCTTGTTCAGCCTGGAGAAGAGAAGGATCCAGAGAGACCTTATTGCAGCCTTCCAGTACCTGAAGGGGCTACAAGGAAGCTGGAGGGGATTTTTTACAAGGGCCTATAGTGACGGGATGAGTGGTAATGGCTTTAAATTGAAAGGGGGGAGATTTAGATTGAGTACAAGGAAGAAATTCTTCATGGGGAGGGTGGTGAGGCACTGAAACAGGCTGCCCAGAGAAGCTGTGGATGCCCCATCCCTGGAAGTGTTCAAGGCCAGGCTGGATGAGGCTTTGAGCAACCAGGTCTAGTGGAAGGTGTCCCTGTCCATGGCAGGGGTGTTGGAACTAGATGGTCTTTAAGGTCCCTTCCAACCCAAACCATCCTATGATTCTTTATGCACATATGTTCATATATATACACATACATGTACGTCATACATATAAATGTACATAGGTATATACATAATGAACTATATATGTTATGTACATATGTATGAAGAATTGTGTCATGCCAAATGGCTGGTGCATTTTTTTTCTGATCTGACAAGAGTCATCTCATTAGATGAACATATGGACATTCCTTCTCTCCCATTCTGCTCTATTCCTTATCCAAAAACTCCTTTTGTTTAGGAAGAATATAAATAAAACTTTTTTGAAGAGATTATTGATGGAAAAAACCCTCTCAGTAAGCAAGCACTGCTTTTCTCTAGGGAAGAGAATCCGGCACTATTCAGAGATACAGTCTTCCTAGCGTTGGTATAGTACAGAAGTATGCTTTGAACTGTCGTGCCTATCAGCTGTCTTTGAATTGCAACTCCAGGTAAGTTACAGATCTGCTTCTAAGGCAGGTGATCTGTTTTTAAAATAAACCACTACAATTTGTGAAAATACTAACTGCATGAATTCTGTGGTTTTCTAAGGTTTATGTACTAATTTTACTTTAATAGAAACTATTTATTAATTTTAGTTGTTATTGATGGTTGCTTAATAATTTTTTTCACTACTAATTAATTACATCTGGCCAGTCATCAGTTTGCTCTGAGAGACTGTGTTAGTAAAGCTCTCATGTTTTAGACTCTTTAGGGTATGTGTGGGAAGCTTAAGGAAATGTATACATGAAAATGTTTTTGGTTTATTTAGATGAACCAAACTTAAGTTTCCTGTGATCATGACATGAATTGATGAAATTATGTCATAAATTTTATATGTCTAAGGCTTCCTTCTTTTTCCGTGTACTTCTAATGCCTGGAAACTTTGTTCATCCCATGTTAATTTTCCATTTTTACAAGCTCTAGCAGGTGGCAGTGCTTCGAGCAAGACTGGTTTTCTTAAGCATCAGCGCTGCCAATACTGAAGTTGCTTTCTACTTAACAGCTGTTTTTTTTTCTTTTCCACAAGAGAGTGCAGAGGCAGAAAAGGCAAAAATATACCGAGTAAAGAGGACTTGTAGGAGAATTTTAATAACTGCACAGTAACTTTATGATTTTAAACAAAATTCATAATGTGCATGTAGGTCGCTCACCTATTTAGGTATAGACCAAAACCACACTGCTTCACTTAAAAGGCAGCGTGACCTAGTCAGAGCCATGTTAGTTTTGTTTTGAATCCAAGCTGTTTCCTTTCCAAATGACATTGTGCTGGTGAAAAAGCTCAGATCCATAAGCGTTTTGTAGTTCTTTTTCTAAATTTCTTTTAAAATTCTAGTGGAGAATAAGGGTGTCTAAATACCTTTCAAAATTTAGAAATGCTTTTAAAATGGCACTAGAGTAAATACAGGGTAGTATGGTTGACTGAATACCTGTGTAATTGGAAATCTTCAAATGTAACCCTGTAGAAAATGTATTTTTCTGATATTTTAAGTGACTTCAAAGATTAACTGGATTATACATCATATTGTTTGGAAAAAAGCTAAAGAATGCCCTTCGTAGAAATAGAAGTAGTCCTGTTTTAGAGATTAACAGTCTGCATCTGCATTGTCTTTTTAAAAATCTGCTTCATTGCCTCCTAGTAAATCATGAAAACCAATTCTGTTTGGTTGTTAACTTCAGGCTCTGTCAAGAAAAGTTTGGGAGGGCCAGAACCTGCAGTTTACACAACTTGTCGTCTAAAGTATTAAGGATCTTCAAAGTACTGGGTGAAAAAGGGGCATAATTCAGAACCTTTGCAGGGCCAGATCCTGTATGAGGAGATGTAAAGCTTCTTTCCCTTCCTCTGGTGTCTCTCTGCTGTGCAGATAAATGAAAATCACTTGTCTCTCAGTGAATATATGGAATACACTGGTATTCGATTAGAGGGGAAATTTGGCCTGAGTGGGCCTGTTTAGGGAACTGTTTCATATTTCCAGCCTTGAATAGTATTATTTAGCTGTCTTATTTTTTCTTCCTTTGTTTTTCTGTAGTCGTGTTGCTATCATAGACCTTTCAGGTGTCTTGACTTTCTTTGACTTGGATACACGGGTAGTAGACAGTACAGGGCAGCAAGTGATGGGAGAGCAGCTGAAACTGGAACGCAAAGATGTCTGGGATATGAAATGGGCCAAAGATAACCCAGATTTGTTTGCAATGATGGAGAAAACAAGAATGTATGTTTTCAGAAACTTGGATCCAGAGGTAAATATTAACATGTGTTAACTACTTGTTTTAACAATTCACTTGTAAATGAATATGTTAATGGCTCTATGTTGAATAGTATTTTTGTGCTTACTGTTCAGTTAGGCAAGTGTTTATATAAATAAACTTCTGGAAGTCTCAAAATCTTGTCAGCTCTGGTGTGGGAGTGTTGTTCAGGAACAAATAAGTAAAATGAACTATCCTGAAAAGATTAAAAATGCTGGCATATTTTTCTTAAGTGCATGAGATATTTTCCGGAGCATGTTTTTTATATGCTTTGGAAAACATAAATATAGATTTAGTAAAGATACTTGCAAAACATGGTTCAGTTGAATCTAAATATTGGCAGGTGTTCCTTTATCTCTTTCTCATAATTTAGTTAAAGAAAACACGAGGATTTTTGATTACGTCTGTCTGTATGGAATTGTCAATGTTAATGATTTTAGTATTTGTTTCCTGTTGGGAATGCAATTAAATCCTAGTTTGGAGAAGAAAGTCTCTTCAGGTATATGTAACAGATTTGGTTAGGGTTTGGTTAGACTCGGTATCAGGAAGAAATTCTTCCCGGAGAGGGTGGTGAAGCACTGGAACAGGTTGCCCAGAGAAGCTGTGGATGCCCCATCCCTGGAAGTGTTCAAGGCCAGGCTGGATGAGACTTTGAGCAACCTGGTCTAGTGGAAGGTGTCCCTGCCCATGGCAGAGGGGTTGGAACTAGATAATCTATAAGGTCCCTTCCAACTTGAAGCATTTTGTGATTCTGTGATTTAATCACACAGAATACAAATTCATTCCTTTGTAACTTGTTTAACTTTTAGGAACCTATACAAACTTCTGGATATATTTGCAGCTTTGAAGATTTAGAAATAAAATCTGTTCTTCTGGATGAAATATTAAAGGTAAATATAATTAACTGTATTTTGTAGGAAAGGTTGGTGTCTGATGTAATGATTTGAACAATAGATTATCTGTGTTGGCTGAAAATAAAGATGACATGGAATAAAATTATGTTTCTTTATCCATTATGTTAGAATCCTGAACATCCTAACAAAGATTACATCATCAATTTTGAGATTCGGTCATTACGAGACAGTCGAGCATTGATTGAAAAAGTTGGCATTGAGGAATCTTCCCAATTCATAGAAGACAATCCACATCCCAGACTCTGGTAAAATCTTTTTATAAATCAGCTTGCTTTAAATCTGTGTTCCTCTATATTCTTTCCTTGTTCAGACAGATATAGTATTAAAGTACAAAACCTCAAATCGGCCAAAGCAGTATACGCTTTAAACAGAAATATTTAAGAAGAAGAAAGGAAAAGCAAAAAGGTAACAATGCTCAGCTGCATTCTGAAGGGCTGGTGTTCTGAGAACATCTTCACTGGGCTGAATCGCTTCCAAAGGTCTATTACAACCTTACTGTGGAAGGTCGAAAGAGAGCCTTGCAGTACCCTGCTAGACTGGCTCCCCACCTCTTTTGCAATTGGCATGTTTGGGCAGTTTCAAGCTGTGTGGAGTTAGGATTACCCAAAATGCATGAAAGTGAGGCTTTTGTTCCTGAGCATTTGAGAATTCACATTTGAGGAGATGCTGAGGAAGTGTTAAAGACTCCTCAGCAGCCACCTTAAAGAAGAAATTGGGGCCAGTGCTCCTACTTCTTGAACCCAAAGAAGTGGGCTGTTGTTAAGTTGGAAATCTATGATTTTATGAATGTTATAGTACCTAGAATGGAAGCCATTAGTACGTTTTGCTGTATGAGCCCCAAAACACACTGCTCCCTGCTTTTAGGGGTGAATGTAAAAGAAATGAAAAAGCTGGCAGAAAGTAATTTTAGGTTGGGTAAATTAAAATTTGAGTTGGCCCTTAGTTGAGAGGGTATTTATTTATTTGTTGAACCTTGACAAAGAGCTTAAAAACCAGTAAAGAGAACACATTAAAATGGTGATAACATAGGAGCAGTTGACTAACCTTGTAGCATTTTGGACAGGCCGTAAAGGGCAGATATGAGAGGGAGTGGGTACGTTAATCATGTTATGGTGCAGCCTCTCAGAAATAATCTGAGAGAAGGAGATGTTGGCGTGTTTAAACTAAACACGGACTCAGCTATTAAACGAAACTTGAAAAGCCTACACAGCAAACATGTAAGAGTAAACTTCTGAAAACTAGGAGCTCTGGAAATCTATTTAATATCTGGTATCATAAGGGCTGGAAGAGTAAATGCCTCAGTAGATAATTTAATGAGAAATCAATAGAAGAAATTAAAACTTCCTTGACAAGTTGAATGATGCCAATTCTGTTTAACTCTCTGGAGATTGTTCATCTTTACCTTTCTTTAGTAATGTTGTCTCTGTTTTGAAGCTGACTGATTTCTTGCAGTATTGGATGTTTGGCTAGCATCAAGGGGGCTTGAGAGTTCTCTGCTAATTCTGACAGTTCATGGGGGAATTTAGAATTGCCGAAAGGCTGGCCAAAAAAACTTGTAAAACAAGTTTGTCCCAAAAAAAGCATTCCTTCCTATGCAGTTGTGCTTTCGTCTCCAGAACATATATTCTGAAAAGCAGGATTTAATGGCTAAATGTTGAAAGTTTCTGTAATAGTATTGTACTTCTGTTAGTTGGAGTGTGTAGGGTAAAATGTTAGTTTCCTGAGTCTCCATTTTTACTTAGTCTTGAACTAGCTGAAGATTTTTAGAGTTTTGAAGTCACTCATGCTTTTTGCTACTACATCTATTTATTAAATATAAAATGATTGTCAGTTTTGAAGGTCTGTGTCTCAGTAAAAGTTTTATATTGTAAAATGACAGAATGTATGTCACAGGCTGTTCACCTTGCTCCAAAATTGCCATGAACTTAATTTTCATTATGCAGGGAAACGTACGATATGTCATATATTTATACAGAAGAGATGGATTAGAAGGGCTGGATATAAAGCAGATGTATTCTAGATCAGAACAGGACAGTGCCCTTACTGCTAGAACCCAACAAACAGGGTTCTTTGCAGATTAACCAATGAGGCAGTACCACGGCAAGGTTTCCCAGACTGCTGTCCTAACTGGGCAAGGGGCATCCAGATGGACTAGAAGGATAATTTATTCTTTGTGGCCAGTTTAGTTGCCAGCCTGCAAACTGAGGCTGCAGTCAATGCCTAAAGTTGTGATAAATGCATAGGTAGGTATAGCTAAACAGAACTGCACTGACACCAGCAACGTATTTCACACAGGATGACTGTAATACTCAAACCCTGCCTGTTCCTCCCAAGCCAGTGTCCCTTTGAACAGCTGAACAAAAGAGGATTAGCAAGTATGTGAGCATCTTTCCCTGAGCAAGTAACTGGGTAGATCACAGAACGAACTGGGGACAAACATCCGGCTGAATTAAGATTAGTTATTAAACAACACGATTGCAGTAACTTGAATGTCTTCTTTAAGTAACGACTAGTTAAACAGCTCCTCGTTGAATTCACAGCTGCTTTTCCATCTGTTATGTTTGTTTTTCACACAGGCGTCTCCTGGCTGAAGCTGCTCTTCAGAAGCTCGATCTGCAGACTGCTGAACGAGCTTTTGTACGTTGCAAAGATTATCAAGGTATTAAATTTGTGAAGCGTCTGGGCAACCTGCAGAGCGAGTCAATGAAGCAGGCAGAGGTGGCAGCTTATTTCAGCAGATTTGAAGAAGCTGAAAGAATGTATCTGGATATGGACAGAAGGTAATTGCATGTGGATGTCTCAGCAGCAAATAGGGGGTCTGGGAAAAAAAATGCTTGGCTTAATAAGGAATGGCTGGCTGTTTTAGCACTGAAGACTCTACCAGTTTCTGGAATGACAGAGAAGGATCAGATGAAGAGAAGTTTTTTTTTATATCCATAGATAACCAATTCTGGATGTAAATGGGCGCATTCCAAGCTGTTTGCAAAACCTCAGCGGCTCTAGGTAGTGCTGTGTTTCACAGAGGTGTTTTTGCAAGAATTTTGTTGGTATTTCAACTGGTGTTCCAAAAATACAAATAAACAGTCTTAACTAATGTTTAATTTATGTACTGTTGCTCTTAGCTAGTAGCCAAGTGCACATTCTTTCCAATTACATATACAAACAACAGAGTTTTTAATGAACTGTAATCTCTGGAGAGACAGAAAGGACTTTGGATGAAATTGTGGACCAATCAATGGAATTTTTGCTCAGGAATGAAAACAAACAGCAAAATTACAGTATTAATTTGAAGTATAAATTAATGCTACATTAATTAGCTAGACCACTTTTACTGAAAAAGGATAACGAGAAATAATAAGCAGCAGTTGTAGGCTGTAGCCTGTAGGTGGTGGTCAAACATGGAGAAGCATGGATCACTTAGGCACATGGGAAGCTTCTAAGCTCTGATTAATGGAGCCATTAAAAAAAATAGGGAATGATGGAAGAAAAAAAACCCCACATTTCTTCTTTCATTCTGTAAGAATGAGAAACCTTCTTTCCCAGTAAGGCTGGGGGAAGGAAGGTAAGAGCTGCGAATAGATGCACATTGGAGTCTGGTAATGGAAAACTTCTGTGTATGTAATTGGCCCATGGAAGTATGCTGGTTTGGAGAGGTGAGCTGCCTCACAGGCACTCCAGCCACACTGCAGCACCAATTCTTAGATATGGCTTATTCTTTTTCCACATGGCTGAAGAGAAATTTGGCTGTTTATAGGACTGCAGACATCAAAGACTTTTCCTTACTGGTTTCTTCAACAGCAGAGCATCTTACGTGCCAGCTACATGAATATGGGAATTCTGTACTGACATTGTGTCTCCTCACCACTAGAAAAATCTTGATAAGGACCTACCATAAATCAGGCTGAAATAAATCTATTTTTCAAATACAGTTTTAAATTTTATAGATAGGTGCTCTTATTTCACTGACTGCACTGACTTGCAATTGCTTTCCTTATCTCACGTGTAAGTTTAAGGCATTTTTAAAAGAAGTGTATGGATCTCTCCCATTTACTTTCTGTGCACCTTCAGAATTACCTATGTGAAATAGAGAATTATTCTATTTGGTGGAAGAAATGTGCCAGACAGATGCATGGTGGGTCATATGTGTGCATGAATACTAAAAAGGAACAACCTACTTCAGAGTCCTTTCTCCTTCATCCAAAGTCATCTTGAGTCTGAAAGAGAAGTCTCTGAAATGCATTTTATTACATCTCAGCTTTAGCCTTTTTTATTTGTATTCCTTGCTTCTTGGCTTTTCCCCTTGTCTCCTTTCTCCTTTCAGCCTATGCACCAGCTGCTGTCTATTGTAGCGATCAGCAGTGTGAGGTAAAGGGTGATAGTCAGACCAAGAGGAAACCTGTAGCATTAGCCCAGCTGTCTCACTGGCTGTTCATTTTAACCCCTCACGATGGAGTATGGCTGATGGGGAAGTGCATTTTTGTGACATAACCTCTGAGCTCTCTGGGCATGTGCTTTTATAGAATACTGTTTAGATTGTAACCAGGATACCCGGGATCACTGTGACACAGGTTATGAACATGAAAATACTTTTGGGTGCTTTTCTCAAGATTTTTTTAGCTATTTTATTGTCTTTGACTTTTCCCTGCCATTTTCTTCCTATACTAGAGATCTTGCCATCGGACTACGGATAAAACTGGGAGATTGGTTTCGAGTGTTGCAGCTACTGAAAACGGGCTCAGGCGATTCAGATGATGCCCTTCTTGAACAAGCACACAATGCTATTGGGGATTATTTTGCAGACCGTCAGAAATGGTATGTTCTCTAGAGAAACTAGTAAGCAGGAAATTACAAAAGAAGTTACAAAACCGATGACAAGACTTAATTCATGAGGAGAGACAGACATCCGGGAAGTCAGGATGCAACACATGGGATAACTTTGGCATAATGAGATTTAGCTCAGATGTTTATGGTTCCATTGCTAACAGAGAGCTGTTGATCAACTCTCTAAAGAATGAAGGTGATAAAAATCCAAATTTTGCCAGAAGTCTGCCCGTTTCGAAGGAGGCAAGGCGATGAGAAATATCTATACAGTTGTATTAGGCCAGATAGAAAGTATTAAAGAAAAAATAATCAGGAAGAGAGTATTATTAAACATCAGTGAATTTCAGAACTAACCACAAGCTTTCTAGAATGCTTAAAAACCTGCAAGTATTTGAAAAGGTCCAGAGTTTTCTCTGACTTGGTTCTGTCGCCAGCTGTTGTCCAAACTGGGCATCCAAGGAAGGTTTAAGAACAGTGCACACATGTAATGCTGTTTCTCCAGAGCACATTTTGCAGTCAGGTACTTACTGTGCCAGCAGTGATGTCTTTGTAATTAATAACTTCCAGAGTAATTGTCTTTCATTAACTTTTTGTGTTGCCTTCTAAGCCCAGGTAAACTTTCAGCATCTAGAACACTCTCATGGAGTTCCACAGCTCCACTAGGTATTGCAATTACCCAGACTAAAGCAATTGAAAACTTGTGATTAGATTTTGAAAGTTGATTTTTAGATGCTTTAGGTACCTTTGGAGAAGGGTCTTGGAGATCCTGGTGCTTGGGTTTTAAAACATGAAGACACAACAGAAAAGCCCTTTTCTGAGAGTTTAGTTTTAAGTTGTCCATTATCAGCCGTGATCTGTGCAGATGTGGGAATACAATTTTAAGATTCCTTGACTTCCTAATGTTATGCTAGTCAGAGAATCAATCTTGCTACTACTTCAATATAAAAGTCTCTGAAAATTAAAGCTTTTACTGCATTTTAGAAAAACAGTGAAATTCTGTCTACAAAAGCGCTCTCAAGGAAAATTACCTATTTAAAATGATGTCATTGTAGATTTACAAATGCAGAAGGCTTGCACAATGAGAAGTTTCACTTGTGTGTGTATATATCAGAAGCCACCATACTAATTTTTTTCATTATTATTAGGTTAAATGCTGTGCAGTACTATGTACAAGGACGAAACCAGGAACGTTTAGCTGAATGTTACTACATGCTAGAAGATTACCAAGGGCTGGAGGATCTAGCTAACTCGCTTCCAGAGAATAGTAAATTGCTCCCTGTAAGCAAGGTTTATTTTTCATTGTCTTATGCTCAACTACTTACTTAAAATTTCCCATATTGGGAGGGTTAAGAAAGAAAGAGAAAGAATGCAAAATGTGACATACTCAAGCATGATGCTACTTTGATCTCCAGTGTTACTGTTGTTTCATACTCCACCATTCTTCCCCTCCCGTATTGTTCAGGTTTCCTACACAGACCCGATTATTCATCATGTGCTACAGTCACATGGCTATGTCGTAATTCCCTCCCCAAATTGCGGCATTTCTCTCTAAAACATCCATGCTTCACTGAGCAGTCATTCCTCACGGCTGGACACTTACTTCAGCTTTCATTCTGCCATGTAGTCTACATCGGTTTGGTATTTTTCCCAAATTCTTCCTGGTTGCTATCCCTGGTTTAACATTTCACATGATAGCTCTGACGGGAATGCTAACGTACAACAGATATTGGAGACACTCTGCTGAAAGGACGCAGAGTTTAGCCTGAAATGACCTACTGAGTAATAGCTAATTTAAAACCACGATACAATTGATTACCCAAATGCTTGAAAAATGCAAACCATGCTCATTTAATGCCGTTTTTAGTTGTTTGAACAAAGCAAGATGTAGCACTTTCTTTTTAACTTTATTCTAATAGCAGAGTTTTGTGGAATACTGTGAATAGCAAGAACACAATCCTTCTGGTATGATTTAATTTGAAAGAAATTGTATAAAATATCCTTTTTTTTTTTTTTTGTTAAATTTCGAAGCAGTGTGTCAAAGTAGTATGATGTTCTAAAGATTTGCACCAGTGTATGTGTGTTATCTTCACAGGATCCATGAAGCAAAGAACCCCTGTCCCTCAACTTCTTAGGTTTAAATTGAACCAAGAATATAATAGTACTGCAGTTGCTATGCAATGTACTAAAACCCCTCAAACTGAAGTTAACATTGTGCTGATGTTTTGTGCAGGATATAGCCTGTATGTTTGTAAGAGTGGGGATGTGTGAACAAGCTGTGTCGGCCTTTCTGAAATGTAACCAGCCAAAGGATGCGGTAGATACCTGCGTGCATCTCAACCAGGTAAAACAGCAGTGGGACATTGGCTCTACCAATACCAATTGAACAGGGAGATTTCTATCCTACTGCTCAGTTAAATACAAGTCCTTGTTGAGTGTCTGAAGATTTTGTCGTGATTTCTGGAAAATTCATACTTCAGTGCTTAAGCCAGTTGTCTGAAATGAGGATTAGGCCATTGGCAGGACAGAGCTACATGCAGCAATGCTACTTCTGCGTGTGTGTGTGGTAAGCACGCTCAGCATACCGGCACTTATGGCCTTTGTAGAGCCAGGCTGTGCTGCCTCCTGGTGGAATGGCAGGAATGGACTAGGGAGCTGCTGGCTGCTCATTTTCCACATCCCTTTTCTTCTACAGATGCAAAATTATTGGTGGCTGCGTGAGGATGTAGCTGGAAAAGAACTGATCTGAAAAATGATCTGTGTATGTACAGCTAGAGCTGTTCCCCAGTATGACTTAACTGTGCAAACGTTTGTGTTGACACAAATAAGAAAGAAACTGAGGATTGCTGTGAGGAACTTGACATATGGGAATAGCAGGACAGGCTGGTGGTGGCTTTAGGTGAAGAATTTCCTAGTTTGTGGATCTGAAGGACTGTCGGGTATGAGATTCAGCCAGATTCGTCAGTCCTGCCAAACTTCTGATCTGGGGCAAGCACGGTAGCCAAAATGTTGAAGATCAGGGAAAATCGCAGGCAAAATGAGGTGTATAGAAGGATAAGTAAAGTGTCATTGTTTATGCTTGAGCATATGGGCTGAAGTCCTCTTTTAGCCATGCTGACAGTCTGGGTTTTAGTAATATTGAAGTGTTGAAATCCATGTGTCCGGCTATGTGAAGCAGTGAAGTGATTTTGCAAAGCTCTTACCAAAGCGGAAGCAACTGCTTTGTATGTGGTTTTGGACAGACAGGCCTGCTGTATCACGTGATTGGCAGTGATGTTAGCATTTGTGTTCTCTTGCTTTCTACTTTAATTTTATAGTAGCCTAGGTCTAAATGGTGAAGGCTCCAAGAAGACCTTATTGCAGCCTTCCAGTACCTGAATGGGGCTACAAGGAAGCTGGAGGGGACTTTTTACAAGGGCCTGTAGTGACAGGACAAGGGGTAATGGGTTTAAATTGAAAGCGGGGACGTTTATATTAGATATCAGGAAGAAGTGCTTCACGGAGAGGGTGGTGAGGCACTGGACCAGGTTGCCCAGAGAAGCTGTGGATGCCCCATTCCTGGAAGTGTTCCAGGCCAGGCTGGATGAGGCTTTGAGCAACCTGGTCTAGTGGAAGATGTCCCTGCCCATGGCAGGGGGGTTGGAACTGGATGATCTTTAAGGGCCCTTCCAACCCAAACCATTCTATGATTCTATGAATTGTTGCAGACTATTCATAGATAATATGCTTGTTCTGTGAATGTATTTGAAAAAATGAGGTTGATAATTGTCTGCTTTCATTTCTAGTGGAATAAAGCTGTGGAGCTGGCTAAAAATCACAATATGAAAGAAATTGGATCCTTGTTAGCCAGATACGCAAGTCATTTACTGGAAAAGAATAAAATCCTTGATGCTATAGAACTCTATCGTAAAGCCAATTATTTCTTTGAAGCTGCAAAACTCATGTTCAAGGTATTGCGGGTTTTATTTTTATGTGAAGTAACTGGGTTTTTGGACTAGCTCTTATTATTTCCATGCTACTTTTATTTTCTTGGGATTATTTTAGCTTTAACAATGCCCAGGCGATAAGCAGATGTCATACAGGTTACTGCACAGATGAGACCATCTCCCAGGTTCAGGTATCTCTCTGGGAAATAGTTACCCTGGTTGTCCTCTATAGCCAGTACAGAGGGGACTTTCAGGGCACAAGCCATCAGATTTGAGACTTTCACTTCATAAATAGAGCACCTGCAACCTCAGAAAAGGTCCTGTTGCGCTGCATTGCCTAGTAAAGGACTAGAGTAGACCAGCCTGGGTGCAGAGTCCACATTATTTTATATGTTGTGTCGATTAGTTTTATCGCCTTTATTTTTAAAAATAGGAATGTCATTAACTAGAAGTTAAATTTTGATATTTCTTCGATTGGTACCTTCAATTAGGAACTGTTGTGTGTTTTTAAGATTAAGCTGTTGCTTAGATTTGGTTTGGCTGCAGAGATTTCTGTACCTAGCTTGTAAAGTCTGTAAGAGTGAGATGCAATTCTTACAGCAAATATTTATAATGAAAAAACACATATATATGTTACTTTCAAAAGCCATTCTTCTTTTCTGGGAAAACCACCGAACCTATGTATTTCTTAAACCGCAGTGTTTAAAAATCGCTATTCTTGTAGCTTATTTTTATATTAAGGCAATACATTTTATACATGGTTACACTGATCTATCCTTCCCAAGAATCTGGCTTTAAATACTTGTTAGCTAAATAAATAGAGAATAATGTGCATTCTTCACTTTGACATTTTCGTTTATAGTTCTGTTTGCAGTCTAAATTATTACATTCAAATGTAGAATCGTTTTTTGGCATCATTTTCTAAGTTTGTACAAGTATGCAATTGTCCAAGAGAATGAAGCAACTCTTCTAGCATTCTTTTTAACGTACATTAAATTCCTTGTTTTGTTTGGTGTTGGTTTTTTTAAGATTGCAGACGAGGAAGCAAAGAAAAGGACAAAGCCTTTGCGAGTTAAAAAGCTATATGTGTTATCAGCCTTACTGATAGAACAGTGCCACGAACAGATGCAAAATGCACAAAGGGGGAAAGTTAAAGGAAAAAGTTCAGAGGTAGGGTCGTGCTTTTTTTCTGGTTTGGAGGTTTTTGTTTTGTTGTTTTGTTTCTTCCTGAATTCTGGTATGTGCTACCTAGTCAGAATGAAGCAAGCTATCTTTATACGAGGCTATTACGGGTTTTTTAATAACCCTTCTTCCTGCTAAGAGCAAAGCTTTCCTTAAAGCAAGTCTTCCATGAAAACACATTGTTTAAGGCGTTATTTTAAAACATTTAAATCATATGTATTAATAGATATTTTTCTTTCTAAATCTAAAGTATTTTTCTTAATGTTTTCACTATAACAATGAAAATCATACTAAGAAACTCCAGATTTTTTTTCCTGTGAGACTCACTTTCCTGTCATTTTGAGTAAGTATCAATCCCAAAGAGAGATCTGTGATTAGATTAAGCTATGTTGGCTGTAATTTAGCAGGGAGACGGCTCCAGATACGGGGAAAGCAAATAGAAGAATCTTTTTTTTTTTTTCTGCTCACACTTTCATCTTCATATGCACAAATGAAATTGTTTAAACAAAGTTTTTAGAGATCTGGTGTTGAAATGCAGTATGAATCCAAAGTATGAACCAGTCTGCAGATATGCACAGAATATATTTGTACACATGTATATGATATTTATCTTTGAAAATCTGCACCATATGTTCTGCCTGTGCCCTGTATAAAATGCCTAACAATGTTCGCTTTAGGTCCTTGTATTTATATTTTCCCTAGTTAACACAGACAGTGCTGTAATCACCAAGATAGAAAAGTTCTTTTCACATATCCCTGTTTCCTGCTCTATCTGTTTCATATAAAAATTACTTGTGATACTGCTTTGTTTTCAGACTGCTTCAGCTTTGGCTGGTTTGCTAGAAGAAGATGTTCTTTCTTCAGCTAATCGCTTTGCAGACAATGCTTGGCGAGGAGCTGAGGCTTACCATTTTTTCATACTTGCACAAAGACAGCTCTATAAAGGTTCTGTGGATGCAGCACTTAAAACAGGTAGGACTTCATTTTTAACCCTGTAAAGAAACGGTTCTAATCTTAGACCTGCACAGCACGTAATTTCATTTATAGTTGGCACGTTTGTCTGTTCTTGCTAGGAATGTAAAACAAAGCCATGGGTTAAACTGAATGTGGCTGCAGTAAAAGATACCTGGGAAGTATTTTCTTAGAGGCAGTGCAAATGTAACTTACTGAATATTCCCTGGTTAAACTGGACAATCTCTGTAGAAGAGGAAAACAGGATTTTGTATAATTAAATCATCGGTGAGACATCCAAATAAATAAAGAGTGAAGTTCAAACCCAAATCAAGTGAAAATCATATAGAATACATATTAATTTGTAGGTACTACATACTTTTATGTACATGCTTAAGTACCAGCTACATCTCTGCTTCTATTCTCCACAAGAGCCCAGCACTGGGAAAGAACACTTCCCTCCACCCTGTACAGCTCTAAGGCTGGAATACTGTTTGAGGTCCAAACACATCCACCAGAAAGAGTGATCACACTCATGATGATACAGACTGTAATCTCTCTCTCCCAGCACAGTCCTTGCTGCCTTCATCTCATTCCCATTCATCTTCATCTCATTAGCAACCTGGTCTAGTGGAAGGTGTCCCTGCCCATGGCAGGGGGGTTGGAACTAGATGGTCTTTAAGGTCCCTTCCAACCCAAACCATTCTATGATTCTATGTTCTGTTGACTGCTTTGTGTCCTCCTTTAAATGATAAAGCATGCCTGAATTCACATCAGACCTTCCTGTAGAGCTTCGTAGAAAGTTTGTGGGAGTTAGAAATAAAATAGTGCCCTACACTTTGTCCAGGTAACAAAGGTCCATTTCAAATACTTCAAGCATGTTAAGGAAAAAAGTGTCTGAAAAAGACACTTTAATTTCTCAGTTAAATCCTCTTATTGTTACTGATTTCTGAAAAGTGTTGACCCACGCATGCTTCACAGTCATGTCCATGAAAAGATTTTGGTTCATTGTGTCCAATTGGTAAGATTAAAACTGTCTACTTATAACAAATATTTCACACAGGTGCTTGCACTTGTCAGAAGCCACGTAGTAATTTCCTTGGATTTTTCCCCCCCGCCCCCCCATTTCTTAGCTCTTCATCTGCGAGATTATGAAGACGTTATCCCTCCAGTGGAAATCTATTCCCTTTTGGCGCTCTGTGCCTGTGCAAATAGAGCATTTGATACTTGTTCAAAAGCCTTTGTGAAACTAGAATCCTTGGAAACTCTTAGGCCAGAGCAGAGACAGCAGTACGAAGATCTTGCTTTAGAGATATTCACGAGACATTGTCCCAAGTATAACACAAAATCTGACCTGGATGACGTTCTTCAGAGGTGGGTTTATATTTATGTGCTACTGTAATAAAACTAGCTTTGTTTTTTTTCCTGCTATTGTCTGTATTTTGAGTTTTAGCAGGTTTTGTGTGACCAAGTTAATTAGGTGCTTTGCTGCTTAAACCAAATATTGGGCAAGAATGATGCAGGTGTTAGCCAGTTTGCAGGAAGGGTAATCCAACACTTTTAGTTGGAAGAGTAGACACTGTACTCGAGGAACTGGGCACAAAGATAGAGCATCATCTTAATTTGAAATGCAGGTGGACAGAGACTAGGAGTTTTAGGACCTTCGATAAGGTCTCAAGTGCCATCAAAGTAATGATGTTACTGTTTGCATCACCGTTGTGGTGTGATGCACGTGTCAACAGGTGAATGGCTAACCATTATTAACAGTAGGGCTCCAGTGGTTTTTTAATTGCCTGTGTGGGAGAAGAATGTGTCAACTGAAAGAATTAGAATATGAAGGGCACGCTGAAAGGGCAAGTCCTTGGTGTGGCTGGACTCATAGTGGTGTCTATGGCAGTTTCCTGCTAACAGCATGGAATTTGTGAGCATGGAGATTGATTGTGAATCAATTTTCTTCTTAGGGATTGGGATTTTAACCTCTCGGGTTAGATTTTACTGCGCAGATGTACAGAATCTCACTAGTGGCCTTCAGGTTGACTCTTCAGAGGAATAAATGTAATAGGCGAGCAGGTGTCTAACTGGACCTTACCTTTATATGGCCTTCAGTGCTGCTTTTCACTTAATATTTGGATCTGCTGGTCCTGAATTGTTGACTACATGGTTCTGGGAGTGTGAAGATTTACATACTTGGCTATGTTAAGTGTTATTTCATGTAATAACTTCTAATCACAGTGGTGTGCATCTGAATAGAGAAGCAGTATTCTGTAGGTGGGCGTCACAAGATTTGTAAGTAGCTGTAGGCACACAATTAGGTATTTACACTGTTTTGCAAATTTCTACAAAGCAAGTCTGTCTTCTTTTAAAACCATGTTTTTATTCTTTCAGCTTTATTTACTTTCTTTCTTTGTTTTAAATAGTGGAGATGGGAAACTTCCTGTGTGTGTTGCAACGGGAGACCCTATCCTGGAGTATCAATTCTGGATGTGCAACGTGTGTAAGCATTGTATGAAACCCAAAGAAGTGAGCAATTACAGCTTCTGTCCCCTGTGCCACAGTACAGTGTAGCAGGGGGTAAAGGACTGCGGTTTGTCCTCGTGTCTGTTACGTCTCCTAAAAATACGGTCTAAAAGGATGCTGAGGTACTGTGTTTTCAAGCACAGCTCAGGAACTGTGGTGTAACAGCTCGGGCCGCTACTAGGGAAACACTTTTAAAGCAACCCAGACGGCCCGCAAGAGAAACCTTCATTGGTTTCATTTATGTTGAGAAACCACTGTGTTAGACTCGACTCTTTTTGTGGTGTGGGGTTTTTTTCCAAAGGTTTAGGGTGAAAGCTGCTTTTCTAACTGTAAATTGAGCCTGGCTTCAAAACCATGCATGCTGAATGTTGATTCTGCTCAATACATCTTCCTCTGAGCAAGTGCCATTTTTCGTTTTTCTAATTCCGTAGGAAGCTGAGTTTTCTCAAAACTCAGTTTTCTGAGGGAAGTAGCTCTGAGTTGAAATAACACCACAGTAGTTGTGATGACACCATTGTACACCTATTTTTACCACTGTTGTGCTAGAGCAGTGGTACCGGTGTGGCCACAGAGCCGTGCCCTTTTCGTTGGCCGAGCGCGCTTCAGCCCGCCGCTGCGACGAAGGGCGCGCGGACGTTCAGCAGCGGGTGCTGCCGCTCTGCACCCACCCTC